TATATATATATATACACACACAAACAAGTTTTATTAAATTCAATTGACAAGGTCTGTTTCTTTAATTAGATTTTATTGCATTTTTCAATTTAAATAAATTAGAAGCATCGTATCTGGTGCAGTCTTGCTGCCTTTAACTGTTACACATAATGTCACTTTTGACTGTTTCAAAAATTCAGCTCTCTTTAAATAACAGAATTTTGCCTACCACATGGTTCTTGATAATGACAGCTGAAATTACTTGAACCAGCACAGCAGAACAAATATAAATTTCACAAGTTCTTGATATACATTTTATTCAAAAATTGGGAAAATAAAATAAGATTTAAAGAGACCAACCTTATTGTTTGAATTTAATAAGACTTGTTTAAATGAATATTTGCTGCTTAAATATACCTGATGTGTGTGTTTTTATTTGTTTGTTTTTTTAACTAATGTTCATCTTATACAAGGCCCAAGGGGCACTCATGGTAGAGGATACTAAAGGTATTTATATAAGCATAGTTTATGAGGATATGTGTAAGAAATAAGTTAACCTTAGACTTAAAGAAGCTAAGATTGTAGTTGTTGGGAAAGCATTCTTCTGGAACTTCAGTTCTACAAAGCAATAGTTATTGGGAATAAACTATCCAAGTGGAATGATTTTGTTTTTTATGGCTTACCAACTATTTGCAGATTATTCAAAGCCATAAAATGACTTTAGATTGTAAGAGTTTTTGAAGATAAAAAGGATTTTTTGATACATCTTCCTATCTAACCCATAGCTAGTCAAAGAAGACGTGTATTTATATCTTTCCAAGGGTATTTGTGTTTAAGTGAATATAAAGAACTCAATTGCAATTGGAACTTTGCTCCTCAATTTCCAAAACTGAGCCACTATTCATTACACCACCCATAAATCTGTGCTTACAGTCACCCATTTAAGTACTAACCAGGCTCAACATTGCTTAACTTCAGTGATAGCATGAGAACCAGTGTTTAATGTGATAGGACTATAAATCCTATCTGAATAAACTTAGTCCTTACTAATGGAATACAAAGGGGATGAGGGTGGTTCACCTCCAGCTACACAGAGTGATAGGCCTTTGGAGGGTTAAAGAAATGTAGCTTGTTTGAACATTTTCCATGGAAATAGCCGTAAAATAAAGTGAGGCCTGAAACATTTTATCAGTGGGTGGAAAGGTATAAGGTGGAAAACAATTTATCAGCCACTAGGCTACATGCACACATTTGGACTCAAAATGAGAAAGGGAAGACTGGTCAGTTCCAGTCCATATATATCAGTAGTAATTCATTTTCGACCAGATCTGGCTGTTGCAAAGGCTGGTAGATTTTTTTTTTAGTGGCATATCAACTACTATGTGTTATTTAATGCTGAAATGAAAATAACTTGAATTTTTTGCAATTTGCTGACACAGTATTTAGTATTGTTGAAGTTATTGGTAACTTTCTTTTTCTTTTTTTGAGATTTACAAACTGTTTCATTCAATTTCACAAACCAATCAATGAAATTTGAATAAACTGATTTGTCTGGAAAAATACTTTAGCAAAATTCCTACTTCATGGTTTAACAATTTTCTTAATTTAATCTAATTTTATAGGACTTCATGGTAAACAATATTTTATAAGAAAATTTCTTTTTTTCCTTTTTAGCAGCAAAGAATAAATTCTTGGGATTTCTTACTCTTGAGCATGCAACATAGAATTGGCCATGCATAAATATTTCCTTCTAGAGCCAAATTCAAACTTTTTAAAACATTTGGCATTGTTAATTATAATGCTGAAACTGCATCCAGTTAAGTAAAATAAAAGTGGCTTATGAAATGCCTTATGAAGGTCAATCTCTCTTAGTTGAAAGGTGTGTATGAGGTGGTCTGACTGTGATTAAATTATTTGATTTCTGTCCCCAGTGGGAGAAAGAAGAATGATGACATGGTGAACTTATTTTGTATGTTAAATAATAAAATTTTTTCAAAAAATTAATGAAAAATTGTACTAAATTACACACACTAGTAAAACCAGGGTACATTGTACCCTCTTACTTGTTTGCACTTCTCCCCAAAATATGGTTTTGATCAGTCAGTGTATGGCTATTTTAGAGGGTGTGATGGATAGATGGACTAAGAGAAGTTAAAGAATTTTATATATAGATAGATTTTTTAACAATTTTATAGCTTCACCTAAATATATTTCAAACGTAATTGTATGCCTTCAACTACAGGTAAAATGTATAGCTGGTCATCTTGCTTTAAAAATGTATTTTTGCTAATTTTACTATAAACAGGTATTGTTTGTAAATTTTTATAAAAAAAATGTATTGATCATATTTTTTTATAAAAATTTATTTTTTATACTTTCATAATGTTTTGTTTAGGGTTTCACTATTTGCCCATAGCTGGGACCCTAACAGGCACTGCCACCATTGGTCAGTGTGGACCTGGAAACAGCAGCAATTAATAGGTGGTTCTATGCTCATTGAAACCTTCAATCTCCTGATCAGAGGCCAGATGTAGTTTATCATCGTACTCAGGACTTTTTTGTAAAGGTTGAGTATAGCAAGTCAGGTAGTTACAGGAGCAGCACAGGAAACTGACCATTTTTCCAGCATCTTTAGCAATGGATTGTATATTTGAGTTCTACTTGGAGTCTGGGGTGAACTTAAATCCTAATAGAGACCTCCTTGTGGGTGGGTGATTTTGTATTTATTTTTTGAAATGCAAATGATTATTCCTGTTGTGTCTACCTGTTTTCAAAAATAATGTGTCATCACCTTCTTTCAATCAGGAAATTCATGATTCTATTTTTCTTTGCCTCTCACATGAAATGTGACTGAACAGATGTTCATGATTCTAAAGTAAATTTGGTTAATCTCAGTATTATTACAGATCAGTGTCCTGCTTAACAAACATGCTTCCATGACTAAATTGATTAATGTGACGTCCATCAAAGATAGATGGAGTAAAACTAGTAATAAAACAATTTTTATAATGAAGAATGTATTTATCCAGAGTGTTTGTGATAGAAAGCAACAATAAGATGAAGTAGTAATAAAATAATAGTAATAATAAAGAGTGTATTGTGCTAGAGCAATATTTATCAACCAGTGTGTCCAAGTGGACTAATGTACTCTGAAAGGTAGCCATGTGTAATGATTATTTTTATATTTAAAAAAAATCTTTATTTTAAAAAGCTAGAGATACCATGCACATGCTTCCATATCTAGATCAAGTGTTTGTAATTTAATATTTTAAACTGAATGCTAAATTCTTTAATCTTTAAGAAGTGGATAATCCTTTCCCTTTTTCCTTCCTCAAGGAATTTAAATCAGTCATTATTGGCCTCTCTAAAATAAATAGATTTTTCATAAATCCCTTAAATGCGTAAATATACAATGTAATTTCTGAAAGGTAAATGCTTATTTCAGAAGACTTCTTTATTATATTCAAATTTCCTGACTAATTTCCCTTATGAAAATTTAAAGTGCATACTAGAGTTTTAGTTATTCTACAAGTGTTCCCTGAAGTAAAATGGTTCTGGGCCAGAGGATTGGCATAAAAGGCAACAATAAGATGGAATGAAACTAATAATAAAATAATAGTAATAATGACGAGTGTGTTTAGCCAGAGTGTGGGAATAAAAAGCAACAATAATAAGATGGAATAAAACTAGTAATAAAATAATAGCAATAATGATGTGTGTATTGATCCAGAGTGTTGGAATAAAAAGCAACAATAATAAAATGCAGTAAAACTTGTAATAAAATAACAAAATGATATTAATAATTAAGAATTTATTGGCATAGAGTGTTGGGATGAAAAGCAACAATAACATGATACAATAATACTGAAGAATGTATCAAAACAAATTATGATAAAAAGAAACATTTAAACATGAAATATGAATGTCTTGGTCCAGTTTGTTTGGATGAAAAGCAAGATGGAGTCAAACGAGACATAAAATAATTCTCTAGCAGTGTTTGGACAGATTTGTGTTCTGTTAATTTAATTTGTTGGGAAGCATTGGAGTTGGTTGTAAAGTTACTTTTTGGCTGCTTTCTGAAAAGCATCAATTTTTCTTTCATTTAATAATATTTTATTTTGTTTATATTGATGTCGATGAGTTCGGTTGTCTTGGCCACCTGGTTGCGGTGGTTTAATTTAGCCATAGGAGACAGTGACTTTTTAAAGAAACAGAGTGATGCAGACTTATAAAAAATGAGGAACATTTATTAAATGATATTAAAAATTGACATGAGCGGAATTGACTTTAATGATGAAGAAACCATTTTGGGGAAAGATATTTGTCATAGTGTGTTAATTTTTATTCATTTGTATTATCTACAGTCAGACTAATATCCTCATCTTTATCCTCATGTTTTGGCCATTATGTCCTCTACTTTTCTCATTGATTTATTGACCAATTGATTCATTTTCTATGGCTTTGCAGGTTATTTAAAGCCAGAAAATATATTTTTTTAAATGTAGGAACTTTTTTTTTCTAAAGATAATAATTATTTAGTCATATAAGTCTTACTAATAGCTGAGGGAGAAGATTTACTAATTAACTAATAGCTGGAGGAGAAATTTTACTAATTAACCAATAGATGGGGTATTTGTGTGTAAATGAATATGACAAACCCCACTGGAATTGTAACTTGGCTCTCCAATTCTGAGCATTATGGTGGAGTAATGGATAGTGGCTCAGATTGAGGAATTGGAGAGCCGAGTTCAAATTCCACTTGAATCCATTATATTCACTTACTTGCTAATACCTTTGGGAAAGGTTTGAATCCTCTTCTCCTACCAGCTTTGAATAAATAGCAGGACAGACCAGGTTCTATAGCCTTGGATGGCAACTGGTCTACTTCAGAAAGAAATGGCAATCTACTGTGGGAAAAAATCTGCCTCGTCAGTCATGTATCAAAAGATACATGACCGCCTACATGTGTATCACGCATAGCACATAACTGACTGATCCATCACACCACCCATCTATTTAAGCTTACAGCATCTGGTATTCCCAAGTGGTCACCCATCTAGGTAGTGATCAGGCTCAACATTGCTTAACTTCAGTGACCATACGAGGACCAGTGTTTCAACCAGTAAGCCATGAGATGTAAAGAACTGGCAGACAAATTGTCATGATAAATAGTCATACAGCACAAAAGTTCACTTAATGGTGCCTCACTAAATACTGAGTAACTCTATGGAAGAGTGTCTGTTCATGCATCAGCAGTATGCTGACATCTGATTAGCTGCCAAGTTACATCAAGGCTGCACAACCATTTCTTGAGATTGTAAGCATTCTGGGATTGCGAAGGAAATATTTGCTGCAGATTACTTCTACAACACAGAGAATAAATCAGATTCAAATATCAGGGGCAGAAAGAAATGCCAAAATCTCAATTCACAGGTACTATCTCACAAATCACAATGCCCGTAACCAGTCAGAAAAATAACTCACTCTCTGACGAACATGGTAACCAAAATGAACAAATTTTTCTTTTCCCCCTCTCAACTCGAGAACACCAACTGCTTTTATCAGCCGAGCATTTTTTTCCATTTGTTGACAACTGGGAGAGGACACCCAATTTTTGCATATCAAAATACTTTTATAGTGACTCCTGCGACTGACTTGTTTCTAATTTAAATATTCCATCTTCAGCATGTCATGCAGAATATGTACCCTTTTTTTTTTTTTGGTAAGTAATTTTCTTTTTTTCCACATTTTCCATCATAGGATGCATACAACGTGCTGTTGCTTGGTTTGACAAGGTAAGTCACCATTTTCTTTGCTATAGAGATGTTAGTAATTAAAAACTGTCCAGTGCTTTCAGCAACTGAAAATAATCCCAAGCAGTCACTCGTTCGTCGTCTTCAGGTTTCTGTCACTCTGGATATTCTTCTGAGAATTTCAAACTAACCCTTTTTATTTATTTATAGAGGTAGATTGTTATAACTCATTTGTCAATGCCTAGAGATATTCCATCTTGTTTTACTTGAAAACTGTCCTTGGCTTACTTGCTCTGTTTTCACCAAGTCTGAGTTAGTATTTATTCGAGCAAGAACTAAACACACAGCAACAATGACAAATTATATTATTTACAGTTGGATTAATGATTTACAGTTGGATTAATGATTTTTGTTGCTATTATTACAATTTTTCAGTCATTGTGTTCTCCAGCTTTCTTCAAGTGCCTGCTGATCCAGGTAGCCTTTAGAAGTTATGAACTAAACCCTTTATTTAATCAATAAGGATAAATTCTTCTTATTTTTCTTTTTATATCCTGTCTTGTTTCTTTTTCTTTTTCTTTTTGTACTGCTCAGTTATTACAGAGTCTGCCAGGTTGAGGTGCTACATATTATGAGAATACAAATATTCCAGAAGGTTAAGCACTTTTCACCAAGGTGACCTTTTCTCAGGCCTTAGCTTATGCATAAAAATATGTTTTTCATTCACATATAAGGGGGTGATGAAAATTTCTCAACACTTTGTCTTTTATTTCCATTATTTGCATTTGGACTAATATCTTCATCTTTCATTTCAGCCATTTTGCCCTTTGACCTTTTTTAGGTGTCTGTCAATCTGGTTAACCTTCAGGGAATTTTGAACTGAACCCATAAATTATTCTCCAAAAATTGATTGTTCTCATTCCACTTTTCATATCAAAGGATATCTTGTTCACTTTTTTTTTTTTTAGTACTGCTTAGTTACGAGGGTTGACTGAAAAGTTCATAGACTGACCAAGATACTCTCATGAAATGTGATCAAATGAGGTTCATTTTTCAACATCATCTCCCTTTTCATCCATACATTTCTTCCATCAGAGTTGCAATGCTTGAGAACCCATTGGTGAAGAAGCTTTCATCCTGTTGGTAAAAAAAGTCATCAACGCCAGATATAATACCATAATCACTGTAATACTGATTCCAAGCCAAGTGTTCTTTTCATGTTGAGAAACAGATGATTCAGATGGGGCCAAAACATATTGGCATATTATTTTCCATTGATGGTATGGCCCTTTTGAAGAAGTCAATAAATACAGTGCCCATTGCATCCCAAAAAACTAACGCCATCACCTTCCCTTCAGATGAAACAACCTTTAACTAGTTTGGAGCAATTGGGGAGGGGTGTTTCTACTGCAATGATTGTCTCTTTCACTCTGGCTCAAAATGGTGAACCCAACACTCATGATTTTCAGCCCACCCTCATCTCATGGTCAATCTATGAAACTTTTGGCCCACCTTCATCTCATGGTCAGTCTATGAAACTTTCAGCTCACACTCGTCACTTGGTTAGTCTGTGAAACTTTCGGCCCACTCTCGTCTCTTGGTCAGTCTATGAACCTTTCAGCCCAATCTCATCGCTTGGTCAGTCTATGAATCTTACGGCCCACTCTCGTCTTTAGAGTTCTGTTTTTATTGAGTTCGAGTTTGTACTTCCTGGCCCAGGGATTGAACTTAAAATTACAAATTCATGACATAACTCTATAATCCTTTGCACTATTGTCCCCATCGTTTCTTTGAGAAATGCCAACAATGGCAGAATATGGTTCTTAATAGTCTACTTCCACAGGATAATTTGATTTCAATAAATGTATGTTATTTTATTTTTTGTTTTTTAATAATTCACGTCCTTATTGCAATAAATTTTTAGATGTGATCTTCATTTTTATTTTTTCACACCAGTCAGTATATAACAATCAAAACTCATGAGAGTACTCATGCAAACAATCCATAAAATACCACTTTCAGGAAATATGACAAAGTATCTTGATCTCTCAAGTCATTAGTAGGGACTTCCATCTACAAAGAAAGATCTATATATGTAGATAAATAGATATTTCTCTGTAGAAACAAAGTGAGTACTTAAAATCAATATAACAATGCATATCAGGAAATGGCCTAGGCTTACTTTTACCATTCTAGGTGATCAATTCACAATCCCCAGGAAACTGTTGTTAACTAAGATTGGTTGTAGAGACAACACAGATTATTTGGCAATCACCTTCATCACTCACTTTTCTGAAACTCTCTCAGAGTGTTGCTCAGTCCTATGCCTGTCCATTATGAGGTCCTTAAATTTTTTTTTCTTTGCCTGCCTCTTCTCCCATTTTGCAAGATTAGCTAAGTAAACTCTGGAAATTTTAAGAAATGCTTCTTGCTATCCTACCACTCTTTCCATGGAAAGTGCTAAGGCGAACGCCATTCCTTAGTTCCACCAGTTCTAACCTTTGCAGCTAAAGCCTGTCATGCCATGCATATCATAACAAACCACCCTTATTCCCTTTGTATTCTATTGGAAAGATGTAAGTTCCACTCGAACAGCTTCTTTTCATAAACCACTACTTTACGGAACTGACTCCTAAGAGGATGCTTCCCAGACCACTACAATCATAACTTGTTCAAGTCTAGGGTTAACCATCCTTTCCTACATATTGTTATAAACTGTACCCTCTACCTCTTACTCTTTAACCCTCTACTTTGAGTGGCTCTTGGGTTTTGTACAGAGTGAACATAATTGCATAAAAAATGCTCATGCTATTTGATTTTTGCAGCTTTTCACTGTAGATAGATCTTTATATCAACAAATAGACTATTTACATTATTTGGACTATTGTCCTCACCTTTGTCACCATATTTATTACACCATTTTGGCCATTGTACGCTCTGGCCTTCTTCAGGTGGTTGGACATTCTAACCATCTGAAGAAGGCCGAAGCGTACAACGACTGAAATGTTATAATAAATATGGTGACAAAGATGAGGACAATAGTTCAAATAATGTAAGTAGTGTACATAATACCTCATCTCAGAAATATAGACATATCACCAAGTAGGTTGCGAGATTTTTTATCTTATGGTATCATTCTAGGCAATGCCTAGGAGGTTTAGAATGCATCATTCTTTGTGGCCTGTCATGTTTTTACTATATTGACCCACGAGACCCTAGATTCCCAGGCATAAAAATAATGAGATGAGTAAGGAGCACACCAGTCTAATTTCTGAGCTAAATAAGAGGTTTTTAGCACTCTAGATGGTCTTCAGATTTGTCATTGCTGTTATTGTCTGTGCAATCCTAGATGTCATTTCAGGCTATAATCTATGACCTGTTTTTTATTTTGTTTTTTGTTTTTTTTAAGCGTTTCACCACAAGCAAGGCGAGAAGCCACTAGGATGCAAGGGGTTACAGAAAATTTGGAGCAAGATCAGATAGGAGTGATAGAAGAAAGGATGAGGAGAAGGGTAGTGGATAGATCAAGGCAGCTGGAGATGTCGATTGAGGTTACATTTGAATAGCTGGAGATTATAGCTCTCATGGGAACTGGAATAGGGAAGGGAGTTCCACAGGCGAGAGGTGCAAGACATAAAGCTATTGGAGTAGAAGAGATGGCTACATTTAAGAGTTTCGACAGTGAAGGGGTGAGAGTGGGATGCCTGCCTCATAGGGCGCTTGAACTCATGAAGTCCGGGAACCAGCAAATGCAGCTCCTCGGAGCAATTGCCATGAAAGTATTTGTAAAACAGACAGAGAGAGGTGACGGCACGTCTATGAGAAAATGACTGTAGATGAGATGCCAGAGCAGGGCCAATTATATTGCATATCCGCCTCTGGAGCCTATCAAGAACCCCGAGGCAAACAGTAGGGGCTCCAGACCATATATGGCAGCAATACTCCATGCAAGGGTGAATTGTTGATTTGTAGATCTGGAGGATCGATTCTGGGGAGAAAAATTTCCTGGCGCGGCACAGGGAGCCAACTTTCCTTGTGGTGGACGAAGCAATTGACTCAATATATTTGTTCCATCTCAGGTCAGCAGTCAACAAACCGAGCAGCCACAGAGAGTTGCTCTCAAGAAGTTGAGCGTCAGACATTCTAATATTTGAATCTGTAGACTCTTTTACAGAATTAACAGCGAGAGAAATGGAAAGTCATTCTTTAAGAGTGCATCTTTATATAGATCATGTCCCTTCAAAGCTTTGTCTTTAATTGCATTTAGTAATATTTGATTCTTTACAGCTCTTTGTAGTATTTGCAGTATTGTACCTCCATCCATATTCTAAAACTTTTCAAGAAAATTTTCTCTCTTTTTCCATGAAACAGACTTGGGCAATCATGGTTTTCCACAGCTTCCTGTCTTTTGTTATTCTCATTTAAATCTCTGCATTTGTGGCATTTATTTCTCTATTCATTTGCCCAAATTTATCAAGTAAGCTCTCTCTCACTCAATCACACAGTGACATTTCACCTCTGAACATGGGCTATCATGGTTCTCCACAGCTTCTTGTCTTTTGTTGATCTCTGCAATGCTTGCTCATTAACAACTTCTCTTTGTCTTTGTGGTAATTGTTCTGCTATCTAATTGCTCAAATTTGTCAATTTTCATCTCTTTCAATATATAACTTTCATACATAAAGACATAGCTCTCCACAGCTTCTTATGTTACTCTCAGCAATACTGGCTTCTTTGTAAAACCCTTATTATTTTTGTGTCATTTGTTCCTCTATTCATTTGCTCAAATTTGTCAAGTTAGTGTTTTCATCTGCCCATCTTCCATCCTGGGTAAGATGATAAACTACGTCAAACAACAAGGCCTCTGATCAGGAGGTTTTGAGGAGCATGGAACCACTTCTTAATTGCTGGTGTTTCTAGGTCCACACTGACCCAGGGTAATAGCACTTGTTGCAGTTCCAGCTGTGGGCAAATAGTTAACCCCCAAACTGGGGTCAAAACACTATGAAAGTGTAAAAATAGGTTTTAATACCAGAAATATTTTGTAAAAAAAATTGTTACTAGCAATAAATTTTTGGAAAACAAATATTACCAGCAAAACATTTTTTGACAAAAAATATTGCCAGCAAAAGAAAATTATTACCAGAAATAGATTTTTGAAAGAAAAAATATTACCAGAAATAGATTTTTGCAAAAAAATATTGCCAACAATGAAAATTTTGTCATCATTAAATAACTGATTGAGGTTGATATGCCATAAAACAAACTAGACCAAACCAAATCTGCCCATCTTGCATCTCCAAGCCCTTGTGGCTGATGAATCATCTCCCCCTCTACTCACCCCAAACATACGACAATTTGACACTAACATTTGGTGATTGCGACCCCATAAGGATGTCAAATACAATCACATGTACCTAACAATACTTACAAATGTAAAATAAAATAAGAATTACCTTAAAACTAAATTATAATAATATTATTCTATGTTTAAAACCATTTTTTAAAATAAGAGTAGGAAATGCTGGCCATAACAAAATTGGAGAGGTACAATTTATAGGGTTTGATTACCAAAGAAGGGGTGTGTATTATGCATGAGTAGAAGCATTTTCCCACAATTTTAAGGATGCGTATTATGGTTGAAGGCGCATTATACATGGGGAATTACCATAATTAATTTTCCCTAAAACTTGTTTCATTTTTTTTATTCTGGAGACAGGGGATGAAACTATATATAAAATATATATATATATATATATATATATATATATATATATATATATATATATGTGTGTGTGTTTTATTTAGAAATAAGAAGAATGAAAGTTTTATCTTTAATTACAAAATTTTTGATAAATATCTTCAATTACAGGTTGAATAATAGTAGGAAATGATGGCCATAATGAAATTGGAGAGGTTCAATTTACAGGGTTTGGTTAAAACAAGGGGTATATTATGCATGAGTAGAAGCATTTTCCCACAATTTTCAGCACAAATTTTAGGGTGCATATTATGGATGAAGGCATATTATACATGAGGAATAACAGTAATTTCTTTTTGGCTGTGGATTTCACTTCTGATTTCTTCCTTCCATGCTACTTAGAATCTTAGAAAAATTAAAGGCAACATCTATCACCATCTTCTGTCTTCCTGAATCCTTTTCCTGTATTGTTCTTCTCACTTCATTTCACTTCTCTCGATCAGAGGCCTTGCTAATGGATGTAGTTTATCATACCCAGGACTAAAAGAAAGGATGAAACTTAGTAATGATTAGATCCAGAGGGTGGCCCAAATATTTGATTTATAGTGTATAATAACCCAGCATTTCAGCAGACGAGTGTAAGTTCTAGTTGTGATATTAAATTAATCTTAATAACTCTCAAGGGAAGCCTATAGTTGTAGAGGTAATTTCACGTGAGAAATTTATCCTGTTTACTTTCTTTTCAATATTCTCCATTTTATGATATTAAAATGTGTGGAAGCATTTTTTTTTTTTCATATTGCATTTCTTCTTGCCAAGTCTCAATTAACGTTGACATAGCCCTTGGAATTTTGTCACTGATCAGAGGAACAACCCAACTGCAAACACCTGTCTGTTCCCATGGGAAAGTGATTTTTTTTTTTAATGCCTGCAATGGCAATTTTTGTTTTATAAAAGGAGATAGTGATAAAAATATTATTTAAGAAGGATATATAAAGATTAAAGATAATTCAAAAAAATGCATGTTCAATCAACAATGCTGTATATTGGTTGTGGTATTTGGAGTTTTATTATTATATATTGAAATGCCGAGACTTTACTTTAGTCTATGTAAAAAGGAGATATAAGAGTATTGCTTACAAAGATGAGGAGGAACACCAACAGTGGCGGAAAAAGAAGGAAAAAAGAAAAAGAAAGGAAGGAGAGGTAGTAATGGAAAGGAAGAACAAGGAAGTAAGGAGAGGAAGGAAGTAAAGAAGGAGATATAGAAAGAAAAAGAAGGAAGAAAAGGGATATAGAAAGAAAAAGAAGGAGGGAAGTTAGGAAGCAAGGAAAAAGATATAGAAAGAAAATGGGGAAGGAAGGAAGGAGATATAGAAAGAAAAATGAGTGGGAAGGGAAAGAATGAAGGAAAGAAGGAGATATACAAAGAAAAAGGAGGGGGGAGGAAAGAAGGAAGGAAAGGAGATATAGAAAGAAAAAGAAGTGGGGAAGGGAAAGAAGGAAGGAAGGAAATATAGAAAGAAAGAGGAGGGGTGAAGGAAAGGGGGAAGGAAAGAAATATAGAAAGAAAAAAGAGTGTGGAAGAGAAAGAAGGAAGGCAAGAAAGAGATAGAAAGAAAAAGGAGAGGGAAAGGGAAAAAAGGAGATATCGTAAGAAAAAGAAGGAAGGAAGGAAGGAAATATAGAAAGAAAAAGGAGTGGGGAAGGGAAAGAAGGAAGGAAAGAAGTAGATATAGAAAGAAAAAGGACACGGGGGGAGAAAGAGATATAGAAAGAAAAAGGAGTGGAAAGGGAAAGAAGGAAAGAAGGAAAGAAAGAAGGAGATATAGAAAGAAAAAGGAGGGGAGGAAAAATTTAGAGATAGAAAGAAAAAAAAAAGGGGGAAAGAAGGAAGGAATTTGAAGAAGATATAGAAAATTCTTTTCGTAGGAGTGGGGAAGAGAAAGAAGGAAGGAAGGAAATATAAAAAGAAAAAGGATGGGGGAAAGAAAGAAGGAAGGAAAGAGATATAGAAAGAAAAAGGAGTGGGGAAGGGAAAGAAGGAAAGAAAGAAGTAGATATAGAAAGAAAAAGGACAGGGGGAGGGAAAGAAAGAGATATAGAAAGAAAAAGGAGTGGGAAGGGAAAGAAGGAAAGAAGGAAGGAAAGAATAAAGGAAAGAAAGAGATATAGAAAGAAAAAGGAGGGGGAAGGAAAGAGGGAGATATAGAAAGAAAAAGGAGGGAGAAATAAGGAAGGAAGGAAGAAGATATAGAAAGAAAAAGGAGTGGGGAAGGGAAAGAAGGAAGGAAGGAGATATAGAAAGAAAAAGGATAGTAGAAGGAAAGGAGGAAGGAAAGAAGAAGATATAGAAAGAAAAAGGAGGCGAGAAGGAAGGACGGAAGGAAGGAAATATAGAAATAAAAAGGAGGGGGAAGGAAAAAAATAAGGAAATATAGAAAGAAAAAGAAGTGGGGAAAGGAAAGGAGATATAGAAATAAAATGGAGGGGGGAGGAAAGAAGGAAGGAAAGAAGGAGATATAGAAAGAAAAAGAAGTGGGGAAAGGAAAGAAGGTGATATAGAAAGAAAAAGGAGGGGGAAGGAAAGGAGGAAGGAAGGAGATATAGAAAGAAAAAGCAGGGGGAAGGAAGAAGGAAGGAAGAAATATAGTAAGAAAAAGGAGTAGGGAAGGAAAGAAGGAAGAAAGGAGATATAGAAAGAAAAAGGAAGGAAAGCAGGGAAGAAAGAAAGAAAAATAGTGAAGAAATGAAGTATATACACTTAAGTGTTTAATATAAGCGGGTGTCTTAATAATTAGTGGGTGGGTAGTATTTTTATCAATATGCACAAAATGATGGTATCTCAATAAAAGGAATGGCTAGAAAATAACTTAATAGAACGAAGTGTGAAATTAATAATCAGAGGTACAGAATTTCCTAAAAAAAATGTATATATCCCCACCACTATTAAGCCTCTAAAAGTAAGTAAGTAAATAAATTATACACATGAGGAAAAAGCATTAATTATTTTAATGACAAGTCAATTATCTATGAGGTTATTTAATGCCAAATTTTATATAGTGCACACAGTAAGGATCAAACTCACTACATAAATAGCAATGGTCAATCAGACGAGCTAATCATTACTGATGGGCCTAAAGATGGAAACGAATTATAAATAAACAGTGATGAAGATGACAAGAAAATGAGGGGAAATGGTAGAGAGAAAAGAAAGCAAAAAAGTGAAGGAAAGAATATGAATTTGATGATGAAAAGAGACATAAAAATAGAGAGTAAACAAGTGAAAAGGGGAAAGACAAAATAAGAAATAAAAAGGAGGGGAGTGGAAATAATTCTAGCTCAATCAGGGAAAGTAAAGATCAATGGAAAGAGGGCAAAATTAGATAGGAAGTAAACAAAGTAACCCTCTCTCTCTCTCTCTCTACACACACACACACACACACATACATACACACACATACATATATATATATATTTGTCTGTCTGTCTATCTCTCTCTCTCTCTGAAAGAGATGATACTTGTTCCTGACTAGATTTACTGCTGCTTTGAAATTAAATGTAAATTTTCATCTTAAGCCTTGATTAAAATGTTCTGATATCTTATTCCTGTAATACACACTTGGCAGTCTCTCATCTCTTAGCACAAAATAAAATCATCAGATTTAGCCAGTCTGACATAGAAATTTTGCAACTGGATGAGTGTGCATGAACTTTGTATATCGTATTTAATTACTCACATAGAAGAGAAGGGGCAAATTGCATTATATGTTACCCACTCATTTTGTCTCTTTCACACATGCAAACACAGATAGATATTATTGCATTTATAGATATTATTATCCTTTTCTTAGCTAAAATTTTTTAAAGGTAACTCCCTAAATTACATTCAAAGACACATGGTCATACTGTCTGACAGTAATATGTGATGTTACTGTCTGCCACTCCCATTAATCCTAGTAGTTGCAAAAAGCAAATTTGGAGATAAAGGCAAATTATGAGAGACCGGCTACAACCAGTATAATAATAAGACGGAACCATTTAGTGTGATATACATGAAAAAAAAATTTATAACAAACAAATAATAAGGGAAGAATGTACATATGTAGTTGGTGTAGAAATTGTATAATTGTATATGCACAATTGTATGAGACTCTTTTTCATGATTCTGAAATGTGGCTTGGTTGTGAATGCTGCACCTTGGGAGATGTTAACACAAAATGTTTTAACAGTGGGGAATCAATTTTTTTTTTCTTTAAAGTCCAAGTTTTTTGGAGAGAGAAAACGAGAAAAAAAGCCCACTCAACACTGCACCTTTTATACACTGCCATGAGAGATTCTCATTTGTTCCATGGGAGCCCAACATAAAGTATGTTTTTGTCCACAAAAATAATTGCGAGATACAGATTTTAATTTTTGCTACACTTCATTTTGATATATATAATTAAAATGCAATTTTAATTTTCTATAAATCAAAAATAAAATTTTAAAATTATATTTTTGATAATGCATACACATATAATGCAATATTAGCCTTCAATATTGTAGCTTAAATGATTCTCTATTATCCAGACGTCGCTCGTACAATTCAAGATACCGCTGGTTCAATCCACGATTCTTGCTTTCCGCACACTTCAAAATGTAAATGTATCTTTTCTCCCCTTCTCACTGCTTCAGCCCTCTTTCATCAGGCCAACACCACGGTCGACTAACCAATCAATGTTCTTTGATTTTCTTCTCGGTTACCCAGGTTAAACAGCCTCCTCCACTCCGACCAATCAGCACATGACTTGCTAGTGGTCTAAGCATGCCAAACTGCACAAAAACCCTTGTTACCGCACATACTGCTGGAATGGCTAGACAGGAGAGTAATGCAATTTTCAAGGAGCAAACTTGCCAATGCCATATGCTGCACATTGAGGGAAGAGCCCTATTTTCCTTTGCACCAAATGCAAGCCAGCCTGGTTTGCCTGCTTCTACTGGACTGTTCACCACAAATATATACAGGGTGTTCCAGAATTAACTATTTCAATAAAATCGGACAATTTTTTTAAAAACTCATGTTTATTACTGTTCATCATGTTTAATATATGTTAGAATTGTATAAATTTCAAATTTTCTTTATAACTTCATTTTTCTAATTTTATTTTCATTCCCTTTCAGAACCTTATTAATAATGTATACACAAGAATACATCTTTGTTGATCCCTTCTGTATGTATTTACATGTGGTTTCATAAAAAACAAAGGTTTATCACCAAAAGATAAGTAGTTTAGCTGAGCTTAAAGAACACATTCAGTAAGCAGTTCAGGCGATAAATCCTGAAATTCTTCTAAATGCATTTTGCAAGGCTAAAAATAGACTTGAAATTTGCAGACATACAGCACATGTTGAAAAAATTTTCAATAAAATCATGACATAGCCTTCATAAATCTATTTGTTTTGTATCATAATTAAGTAATAAACATAAAAATGTGTTAATTTTTAAATTTGCCAGATTTCATTGAAACAGTTAATTCTGGGACATTCTATACACATACATAAATATATAAATATATGTTACGATAGAAGTTATGGTCCAAATGCAAAATAAATAAGACAACTGTCTAATGAGCAGAATTAATAATATTTGCAATAGAAAGAAAGAGGGGCAAACATTAAAAGGTATCAGGTAAGCAAACAAGCAATATAAATAAAACAAGTTCACAGGTAAGAAAGCAAAAAGGTTTACAAACCATGAATTAGTATTTACGTAGAAAAGCTAGGTCAAGCAAGTGAACCCAATGATGTTCCATATAGACTTGGTAAATCTGGACTGAGTCAAATCAAGTTGTAAATTGACCTATTTTATTGACAAAAAAGTATCCCATCATGCATTTTGTGTATTTTTTCCTATAAAAGGGGAGGGGAAAAATTTACAGTCATTCCATACAGATTGGAAATCAACAATATATGATAACGATATATACTATTATATATCAAGAACAGTATTGGTGTAATTGTATGACAATGTGGGAAAAATCTTTACTTTTCCACTTTGTCATACAATTTCCCCTATATATATATATATATAATATATATATATATATATATATATATATATATATATATATATATATATACACACACACACACAGACATACACACACACACAGAGGGTGTGATGGATAAATTATCATCTAAATTAAATAAAAATGAAAATAATATTGACATCTCATTTTAACAAATATCTTTACCAAAATTACACAGAATATCTTGAAATGCTAAAGAGTAAATTTATTCAATAAAATCACCATTGACTTAGACCAAGACCTCCAGACAATTTCAGAAACTCCTGGATGGTCTATTTGCTTAAGTTGGTGAATGCTGCCATAACCTTTGCCTTCAGTTCATCTTTGGTGTTACAAGAAGTTTTGTAGGTCTCACTCTATCAACTGCTATCCATACAATGGGGATTACTGTCTGGAGAGTTAGGTGGCCAGATGTAATGAGCAGAAATGTGCCAATAGTCTTTTTCAGGCATGGTAATTGCATTTAGTTTGTAAAAGGCTGTCAACTCTTGGGGTTGACTTCAGTTCCCATATATATATATATATATATATATATATAAAAATTTCAGATAGTGTATCTGTAAAAGGACAATATGAATAAAGACAAAATGGAAAACTTAACCACCACATTTTGTCTTCTGAGAGAATTTTTTTTTTGTTTAGTAGGCATTGAACTGCATCAGCTCACATCCATGAATTTGCTTGACTTTTCTGCTAACCTGTTGAATATGCATGAGCACTCCTATACCCACAAATTTTGAAAAACCAATAACATTTCTGCTCTACTATATAAATATTTGTCACAAAATAAAATCCTTACATTTTCCCTCAGAGGACAAAATATGTCAGCTAAGATAAGTTTTCCTTTTGTCTATATTCATATATTGTTCAAAACATATTTATATATATATTATATTTATATTGTATTATATTTATATTATATTATATTTTATATTATATATTACATTATTATATTATATTATTGTGGGGAAAATTATGAAAATGGCTTACCTCGGAAACGCCTGCAAATCTGTGCAAACTTCGATTGTTCAACGATAAAAAGAACCAAAATGGCGGCACTCATGTTTTATGCCGGGTGGTCTCGGACAGTTAATATGAAATCTCATTGTCTTGTCATTCGCATGCAAATTATGGTCGGTTCTCAGCTGTATAAAGCAGGCACGTTTTTGTTTCTGGGCACTGAGTTTTTGCTCGTGAGAAGGTTGGACGTGTAACACTATCTTGTCGGTTACCCTCCTCATGTTTCCAATCTGCTATTATCAATTGAGTCGTTGCTTTAGCACCACAATTATATATTATATTATATTTATATATATATATATTATACTAATTCCAAACAAATTGGTACCTGAAGGAAAAAATTAGAAAAACAAAGAAAGAACTAGAAACATCCAAACAGGGAGAAACAAATTATCCAGAGCCTTAAATTTTTAGTCCAAAGAAAAGACCCAAGTTAGTAATAAAGTTAAAACATCGTGCTCAATATGCTAAGTAGAGCTGGGATAAATAAAATAAATCCTAAAAAGCCAGGACCAACCTATCTTGGTTTCACCTAAATGTATCTTCAAGGTAATCTAGCATGCATATATATATATGTATATATATATATATATGAAGAAATATAAAGATGTGCTATATTTATGGGATAAAATGCTCGTTATCAGAGAGCATGTGTAAATATAAAAGTGAACATATAAGTCAACACTTAGAGGTGACAGTCTGTTTCATGCTAGATGCAATCCTCAGGAGACTCGTGGCCTGAGGATTGCATCTAGCATGAAACAGACTGTCACCTCTAAGTGTTGACTTATATGTTCACTTATATATATATACATACATATATATATATATACATTATACAGAGATGAGTGTATTGACAATCCCTATACAATAATGTTCAGTCAGTGCAAAACTCATAAATGTTCCATGCAGTGGAAAAACTTTATTTCTTTATTTTCTTACAGTAGATACATGTTGAAATCACGCTGTAGACACCAAGCTGTTGCATGGCACTGCTTTTAATTTGACTAAAAGCAGTGGCAACATTATTTGCACATGCAAGTGATTGGTATAAGAAAACAACAAATTTCAACAAGGTGATATTTTATTTTTTTTGCTTTTACATAAGTGAGTAAATGACTGATTCATTTTCTACAGCTTATCAACCCTCTGGAAGTTATTTAAAGCCAGAAAATATTTTTAGATTCTTAGGATGTTTTTCCTAGAGATAATAATGGTTTAGTGATAAGTCTTTCTAATTAACCCATATCTTGTGGGGAGAAGATATGGATTCAAACCTAATCAGATTTTGAAAAATTATAATGTTGAATATAAAGTGGGAGATCAGTTCTATATTACAATCAGTATATAAACCGATCCCTCACTTTGTGACCAGAATAGTTTCTATACATTTATATTCCAGAGAATAAAAATAAGTCTAAAAGACATCTGTGTAGCTCATCAATATTTCATTTGATTCATTCATTTTCTATGGTTTATCAACCCATTGCAGGTTATTTAAAGCCAGAAAAATATTTCTAAGAATTTTTTTCTGAAAGATAATAATGGTTTAGTGATACAAGTCTTACTAATTAACCCATAGCTAGGGGAGAAGAGGTAGATTCATACCTTTCCCAAGGGCATTTGTTCGTAAGTGAACATTAATTCTGTTTAATAATTCCTAGTTATTATCCATTACACTACCCACACATCCCTGCTTACAGAACCTGTTATTCCCAAGTGGTCACCCATCCAGGTACTAGCCAGGCTCAACATTGCTTAACTTAGGTGATCATATGAGAACCAGTGTTTCAATGAGTAATAAATTAGTATGCATACAAAAGAAAAAAAAAGACATTACCAGTTAGGAATTATATGGGTGATACACATATGTGTTATTTCACTTACTGAGGGGAAGATACCCCCAATGCTCAGGTAGGTCCTGATTAACGTTGTCCCTACAGTATTTTGGGAGAAAAAAAAAGAGAGCAAAAAGTGAAAGACAGGAATTGTTCAATTTTTATAACTGCTTGAAGTATCCTTTAACAACTTCTTGGCAAAACTTACAAACTCGTGATAACCCCCAAGTTCAATATTCCAGTATTAATGAATATAAAGAGAGAATTAACTTAGCATTGTTGTTGTTGTTTCTTTTTTGGGGGTTATTTTTTTTTATTTGAGATTTTATTTGTACAAGGCAATTATGACGACTTGAATTATTTACATTATTCTGACTTTTTATGTTTATATAAATTCTTTTTATAGATACAAATATTTAAGTAAATGCTCCATTTATAATAAACAGTATTAAACAACATAAAACAAAATATCTTAAAATAATTGTCGGACTTTGTCCATTTCATAATGTGTGATGTCATTATTCAGACTATTATCCTCATCTTCATTGCCATATTCACATTTCGGCCATTGTACACTCCGGCCTACTTCAGGTAATTAGAATTTTGAACCAGACCCTTTATTTCATCCACTGGTTAGATTGTTTTAGTTCCACATGCCATGCCTCTTAGGGATGTTTCAGTTTTTTCTCTTTAACCCAACTCTCCAAGTTTTGGTTCACCACTGCTTCAGCCTGGTATTGAACTCACAATTCTTTGGGTCTAGTCACTGGCTCTAACTAACGTCTTTATCCACTAGGCTATGTGTCCTTCCATCAGCATAGTTGATGCTAACTTACATTAGAGGAACTCCTTGTACCTACATGGTTTAATGTTTTCAACTGACATGAAGGGGACAGATTTTTAGGTGTTAGTAAAATCAGTTGACTATATTGTTCTAGACAATTTTTATCACAAGAATCTATATTTTGCATTCATCTGTGCATCAAATATTGGTGCCACATCTGGTTTCGTAGTTCTGCTACATATCTAGAGATTCTTGACTAAATCCAAAGAAAAATCTGCAATGTTATCAGTCCTGACATGGCATCTTTCCCAGTATAAATATCTTTGCCATAATTGTTCTGGTGAGCTTTCCTGTTTGGTACCTTGATTTCATGAATTTAAGTGTAGTACTAGATTGGCAGATAGGTTCATTATTTTATTAATTAAATAGATGCAATTGTAAGGTCTATGCTAGTAGCTTCTTCTCCCACATTTCTTGTGGGTAGAACTCCCTTTTGGCTTTCTGCTTTCCTGTCAAATTTGATCTTCAAAAAATCTAAATACAATGCCAATCGTCATCTTCTTTTTTCTTAACATGTTCTTTTATAGTTCTTTCTATTTCATTCACTTTTAGTAACTCCTTGCATCTTAGTGACTTTATTGCCTTACTTGAAGTGATATTATTAAAACAAAAAGTTAGATAGGTTATAATAACAATAAATCTTCTTCTTATCAACAGTGAGCAACTCTACTTACTGAAACAATGCATAATTAAATTCGATCCATACAACTTCTGATATGAAGTTGAAGTGAATGAAATATATATCGATGAAATGATTATTTTACAGTTTTTTTGTTGTCAATAAAATAATTGTTATTGTCATTATTCCCATTTGTCAAACTCCATTCTCAGTGACAGTGTATATAGTAATAGCAATTTCGTAGAACAAATTTCATTTATTCCTAGTCATTTTCCACTCACAATGAAAAGGAGAAAATATTTTAGAGGGAAAAATTGTTTTGTGAAATTGGTTTTTCAAGACACAGACATTTTTTTCTTTCCAAGCATAAAAATGGCATCATGTTTGTGTCCAGCTTCATCTCCAAAAGCTACAATATTTAGACTCTTTTAAATATATATATATATATACATATATATATATATATATATATATCATAATTACCCATGTATAATATACATTTTTTTCTAGAAAATAATAAGCAAAATCAGGACTGCGTATTATGCACAGCTACAAAAAATCTTTAAAAAATTGCCGTAAAATAAGAATTATCATAAGACTAAATTAGAATAATACTATGTTAACAGTAAGAAACACTGGGTGTAATGAAATTGGAGAGGTACAATTTATAGGGTTTGGTTACTAAACAAGGGGTGCATATTATTCATGAGTAGAATCATTTTCCCACACTTTCACCACATTATGGATGAAGGCATATCATACATGGGAATTATGGTGTGTGTGTGTGTGTATATATATATATATATATATATATATATATATATATATATAAAACACTGTATATTTCTACATTTTGCAAAGACTATATTTAAAGCCCAAAAATCACCCTTAAAATTGGGGGTTATCTCACACTACAATTCTAAAAAAGAAATCTTAAATTTGTTGAAAATTTGGTGACTCTCCAAATTCAGTCATACCTGATGAACAAAGATTAGACAATTGAACAGTTTAAAAAAAAATATACTTTATAGAAAAAATACATTATAGAAAAAGAAGCTCTACTGAGAAAATGTAAACAAAGTTATGACCATCATGTGTTCACCGCAACCTTTAACATTTTCTAAACTTTCACTAATCATTATGGTAGTGTTAAATACATAATATTCTTTACTCATGAAAAATTCATTATCATTTTTGTGTTAAATAATAACACAATATAGGATTACATACAACCTTTATTTTTCAAATAAAAATCATTTTATGAGAGTTGGATTAAAAAGAAGTGAAGCAGGAGGATGAAGAATTGGTATTCACAAAAGATCATGTGATGAAACAAACAAAGCAATGTTTCCCCCTTTTAGGGACATGTGTAGAAAAAAACAAAAGTATAAAATCGTCTTTTTTTTATTTCACTTATTTTGAATTTCTAAGGCTACAGTAAGTAAACATTTCCAATATCATCTTTATATAATCAATAAGGAGTCATCTTATACTACAGGTATAGGATAAATTCATGAAAATTTGTAATTTTTTTACCTTGGCCTATGTAAAGGTCACCTTATACATGGAAATAAAATTCACTTTGTATATATCTATATTATATATATATATATATATATATATATATATATATATATATATATATATATAAAATGGAAGATGTCTGTCTGTGTGTATGCAAGCTATTTATGCACATTCACATTTCTCGACCAATTTCAATAAAATTGTACACACATATTGCAAATTTACCAAAGTAGGTCAAGATCTACTTTGTGATCTCCATGCCCCTAGGTTTGGTACAAAAATCAATAAAACTGATAGTGGGTGCAACTTTTTGCAAAAACCAAGGCAAAGTTACACATGAACAAAGTTTTTACTGAATGGGCTGATGTTCTTTGCATTTAAGGCAAAACATCAACTGATGTTACAAGGTTTATGTAGACTACTTAATAGTTTTCCTGCGACATTGACGTCACAGAAAAAATTACAAAAAACTGGAAAAATCGTTTTTCATACTACTTAAAATAAAAACTTGAATTACTTCCTCATTTTTTATCCTATTTTTTCAAACATGTTGCAAAAAAATTTGCCATCATGCAAAAAATAAGATAGTGTAGTTATTGTCCTGTTTGCTTCCGCATGTAGAATGAAAAACCAAGTAAGGCAATAAAGCCACTAAAATACAAGGAGGTAACTGAAAGTGAAATAAATAGAGAGGGCAATGAAAGAACATGTATTAAGAAAACAGATGACAATATTGTATTTAGATTTTTGAAGATCAAAATTGACAGGAAAGCAGGAAGCCAGAACGGAGTTCTACAAGGAAGAAGTGTGAGAGAAGAAACTACTAACATAGAACTTACAGCTGCATCTACCTAAAAAAAAAAAACTGTGCAAAAACCCGTTTTTCGGTCATAACTCTCTGGTTTTTCATCAAATGCTTTCCAAATTTACCATGTAAATTGCATATGACAAATAAATTGTCTATGTGTGAATGTTTAGTATAGATTATTTCAGTTAAATTGATGAAATCTGTAACAAACTAAGGCCAAAATCAGCTTTTACAATTTAGACAATAGTTTCTTCATATGATTCCATCCTAAATTGGCATTCAAACAACCTTTGATGCAAAAATTGTTTGAGAGGATTATTGAAGCATTAAAAGGGAAAAATTCCCAAAGAATCTCTTATTAACTCCAGCTTTACAGTAATCATGTGTAGAAAGGTGGGGAGAGGTCGTTCCTACATTTGCAGTTGAATCAAGCTCTGGCACATCATCCCTGTTTTTTTTTTTATTATTAGATTTGTGAATAATGCCTTACTATTTGAAAGTTATTAGAGCCATAGGAAATTTACTGAATATCTAAAACATTGAAACAATTTAACCCTGAGCAACAACCACACAAGAAGGTTTTATTGATATAATTCCTTTATTAAGAACAATCAAACACTTACAAAGTACATACCATAAAAAAGATGAGGGAGGAAGGGAAGGAAGATGATGCATGCAAGCGGGGATGCAGGCAGATACTCCTAGCCAGGGGATGTAAGTATACAGGCTGGTGCAGTTACACTTGCAGCCATGTACACCCTAGTAATGCTAAATACCTCAGCTAGTATATATATATATATATATATATATATATATATATATATACACATGTTCCAACACACACACACACATACATACATATATATATATATATATATATATATATATATATATATATATATATTGTGTGTATTTAGGTAGGATTTTTTCATTGATGCATGTTTCATTAAATAATATAAATAAGTTTTGTCCATTTTCTTTTCATATCGTCTGACAAGCTTAATAACATTATCATTAAATCACCATATTGATACAGATTTTTTAATCCTATCTAAGCTTTTGGCTTATATAAGCCATTATGAAAGATGACAATTACATTACAATATATTAAACAATACACGGACAAAACAATAATGATGTTTTTATTTCCATGGATGATTTC